TGCCATGGTTACTGTAAATTTATAATAATGGTAGTAAATTTACGTTGTAGGAATTCCGAAGTTCAAATACTCATTTTATCATTAGGAGATTTGAATTCAAAAACTAGCCTAAAAAATCATCTGTAATTCACCTAGCCTCAGCAATCTCGGAGTCTGGGACTTTGCCCCGTAATGATTACGTTTAATGTTTAAATAAGTAAGGAAAAGTAAGCACGTAATTTCTTGCGTATAGTTAAATTTGGATTGAATAGTTAAAAGAAGTATTTTTTGCTGTGCCAATTTGCGTAAACACACATTTCAAGTAGCTCTATTTTCATAAACACGCAATTTGTGCTGAGTCTATTTTCTTGAAAGTATTTAAATATGTCCATTTTTATAAGCACGCAATTCGAGGTGTGTCCATATTCTCAATCAAGCATTTTGAATGAGCCCATTTTTGTAAGCACGCAATTTGAGTTGGGTCTATTTTCGTAAACACGTATTTGAATATGTCCATTTTTGTAAACAAATAATTCGAGCTGAGTTCATTTTCGTAAGCACGCATTTCGAGCTGTGTCCATTTTCTTAAACGCGCATGTTCACATTTTTGTAAACACACATTTCAGGATGTGCCCTCAATTAAAATCTCACAGTCAAAGTATTTCGTTTTTTAATCTAATTTCATTTTACTTTTTTTTATCTAAACTTTGAGTACAGAAAATTTTCTACTTTGAATCAGTTCGTTTAAGAAAATCAATTCAAATTGGAATTCAAAATTTTGATACTCTATAAAAACTATTACCAGAGTTGATGAATTTTTTTTAATCAGGTCAAGTAATTGAGAACATATATTCTTAAATTTCTTTTCCAAAAACAAAATTATATTAAAGAAATTAGGATGTACAATTTTTATCCAAACTGTTTTGTCAGTATTGGAATATATTTGGTTGAAATTGTTTAAAATTTTTAAATGCTGTTTCCAGAATATAATTTTTCTATTATTCTTAGTAAAATGCTCGTTTTAAAGAAACAATTCAATTTAATATCTCAAATATCACTGTTTTGCAATAATTTTATTATTAAATAGTATTAACATAAATGGGGAGAAATTGAAATGGATTTACTAAATTGCTACTAACTGTAATGAAATCGTGGAATGTTTATAAGATTAAAATTTTTAAGCTTAAATTAGATTATTTGGAGCATTATAGTGCTGCAATGGGTGTAGATATTAGGTGGGAGAGTTCAAAAATAAGTTCCCTTTCTACTTTCCCTCATATGTTAATAAGTAAATCGAACCTTAGTTCCTCAGCAAATCGAACAGATAGTTGTTGAATGGTCCCGCAGTGGACTGATCGTTAAGACACGGCTCCCAGCAGATCACCGAAGTCAAGCATCACTGGCTACGGTCAGTGTGCGGGTGGGTGACCACTTGAATCAGTCTGCGTAGGGACCTAGGGTGTGCGGTACTGGTCTTCGTTAAACTGTGCTACCGTAAAGTGCTCGACTTCGCGCGCAGGTCGTCGGGCTACCGAAGCGGGGGTGCCATCCCCTCCGCAGAGGATCAAAATTGTGATGGCATGTCTTCGGATCATCCTTCGGGATGTTTCCCAGACCGTCGCCAATAGCCCATTGTGCAGCTCTAGTGCGACGTAAATTAACAACAACAACAGATAGTTGTTGAATGTGAAAGATATCTATGCACCATTGGGCTATCGTTCGACTGTGATCAAACAGATGGCGCTGGTGCAGTGCCTGTGCAAAATGGAAACGAGTTTCTAAATCGTGTCCCGGAGTTTGAAATCATCAATGCTACGGTGTATTGAGATATAAAGTGGTCAATCGGAAAAAGCGACCTGGCCGTCTTCCAGCAGGCGTTGTCGGATGACAATAGGAAAGCACGTCATCGACGACGGTAAAGCAAAACCATTATGCCACTTTTGGTTGCAAGAGCCTTGATCATCCGCCATGCAGTTCTTATCTGGATTCCAGTGACTTCTATTTATGTCCGAATTTACAAGAAAAATCGCAGCTGAAGGCGCTTTGAAAGCAATGCTGAATTCATGCTACCCGTAAACGTTTCTTCCATTTACAATGCCTGATTTCTCTCTGAAAGACTTCTTGAAGCTTTAAAAGAGGAAGGACACATGTCTCAACGTACTAGATAATTATGTAGAAATATAAAATTTCGTCGTACATTCAACATCTTTCTATTTTTTCTTTTATATCCACTTCTGGCTACAGTCGACAGGGAAACTTCTCCTTCGTAAATAATTTCATTAATAACTAAATAAATAATTGTTAAAAATATTAAATATTAATTGTTAATAGTAATACATAGTAAGTGTTAATAAGTAATTAATAATTTTTTTTATATAATATTGTTTTTTTTTTATATTTTAGGGAAATATTCATCCTGTATAAAATTGCGCACATGTGGTATCCCACGTTAGGATTTATACTCACTTCAGTCGTTATATTTATTTCTGTTTTAGCTACAGGTAAAACATTTTTTATTCATTTTTAGGGTATTATAGTAAAAGAAACACATTGTAAAGTTTTCTGAAAAGTCCAGAATTTGATTTTCACACAATATAACAAAATGCTAATATGGTTGTATTGTCTTTTAACATGAGTGAAGAATAAAGAATGATATAAAACGAAATACAAGGGAGAGTGTGATGTTGTTACATCACACGTGCGACGATATTCAACTCAATAGTTTTTTCAGTTTTGGTTCATTTAACCACAATAGCCTTCCACTAAAATTAAATTGATCAATTGATTTTTTCATATCGATGATTCCCACCTTAACTTTAACCGAGTAGCGCTTTGCTTTTTTCCGCGTGCTTTCTTGGCGTCAGTTGACGAAGCCACGGTATGAGAGAAACAACGTTCTTATTTTTTAAAACTTTCAGGCGCTCGCCTTCCAGTTGAATAGCTAGTATTTCATCCTTTTTTAAAGTACAAGATGTAACTATATTTAAATTAAAGTTTATCAAATGAATTTAAAGATAAATTACATTTTATTCCAATTTGAAAGTTAGCGAATTTAGATGCTCAACGCGTGTGCCTTGTCGCCAATAGTTGGCGAGTTTTCATAGTAGCAGTCACCAAATCTACGATGATCCTGATTGTTACAAGTCGTTGATTCTCGAATTTCCCTTTTAAAAAAGAAGGAAGTCTCGTCTGATTCAAAAATATGATACAAAGTTCGCGTTACTCGTGAGCGATTGAATGCCATCTTCATGAATTGAACCTTTACCAGTGATATCTACGAAATAAAGTGAAGTTAGTAATTTAAACCATGTGTCCTCTATGATTCAATTTCAACAGCAATTGACCAGCAACAGAATCTGGGGATCCTTCTGGAACGAAGGATCAGGTAACTCATTTGGACTTATGTTTTTTTTAAAACTATACGATCTTCTATTTATCCTTTTATGTAATTCCTGCGATGACTGTTATTCACCTTTTTTTATGTAATGATATGTAATGATAATGTTATGAAATTACTTAAATCGTAACTTTACGATATATCTTATGCAATGATCATTTCTCTTATTTATTTAAATTACTTAAATCGTAACTTTACGATATATCTTATGTAATGATCCATTCCCTTATTTATTTAAATTACTTAAATCGTAACTTTACGATATATCCATTCCCTTATTTATTTAAATTACTTAAATCGTAACTTTACGATATATCTTATGTCGTGATCCATTCCCTTATTTATTTAAATTACTTAAATCGTAACTTTACGATATATCTTATGCAATGATCATTTCCCTTATTTATTTAAATTACTTAAATCGTAACTTTACGATATATCTTATGTAATGATCCATTCCCTTATTTATTTAAATTACTTAAATCGTAATTTTACGATATATCTTATGTAATGATCCATTCCCTTATTTATTTAAATTACTTAAATCGTAACTGTACGATAGAGAGGAACGTCACTTTTTACCTTGACGCATACGAAACAGCATTTTGTATACCTATATATTTCCTTTCTATCCATTTCACCTGAAATTAGATTAGCATATACAGGATAATTAAAAAAAATCTTTACAAAATGACATGACAAATCAGGCATTATATAATAATCAAAAAAATCACATAGGATCTCAAACGGCATTAGAGGGTGATAAAGTTACGAAGGAGCATATACACAAGCAAGTATGAAGGTGGACCAATCACATGGCCACCACGATCATCAGGCCTCTCTTCAATAGATTTCTTCTTTGCTTTAAAAGAAGTTGTGCGTATGAAATTCCTATTGCATGCTCGGAAGACTTAGTAAGAAGAAATAAAGGCAGTAGGTGGCATTCCAGACACACTTGGTGACTTTTAAAGGGTGTGTCGATGCACCATCGATGTCAGGCGTGCATTGATATATCTGGAAAAAACTTTGCAATGGTCTTACATTTATAACATATGATTAATATAAATATAATGTGCAATAATTCTGGTTTTTTCCCCTTTGTAATACTTTTTAAACGCCCTCTAATGGCACCGGATAGAATCTGCGATATCACTAAGTGATTTTTGATCCCCGTTTTATGCTTGTCCATTGAAAATTTAATATATATATATATGCATATTATTTCATGAAGTGTAAAAACGTAGACTATCTCTCAGATCTTCAGCTATAAACATAACATTCATGAACGGAAATTAAAAGTATGCATCGACTAAATCATGAAATTTTTTAAATTAAATTTTATTCTAAATGGTGATTTCATCGGAAATATACATTTGACTTTCAGATTTATAAATGGACCGACCAACAATCTTGTCTTGCGCGGAGGGGTAAGAGTGAAATTGCAACAAATTGTATCAAGGATGAATCAGGGGGTAACCAGAAGTGTGGTATCCCATATTTTAAAATATTTGTTCAACATCTTTTTCATTAAAATAAGTTTACTACTAATAATTTTTATTGTAAAATTTTTATTCCATGTTATAAGCTCAGGAGTATATCATAAAGAATTCTCATGAAAATTGAAATGAGGCATATTACATGGGTGAATTTAAAATTATTTTCCTGGAAAGAATGATGCTTGTGGAATAATGCAAAAGCGGCCATATTGGGGAACCAATTCGGTAGCACAAAAATTCCAGCTTTTATTAGTAACTTTTTAAAAAAAAATCATGGAAAACAAACATTTAAAAAATTCTAAGACTGACAATAATTGAAACAATAAACGTTTAAAAATATTCCTAAAAAAGGACGATAACTGAAAAGATAAACGTCTAAAAATTTCCAAAAATGACTATAACTGAAACGATGAACAAGCAAAATTATTCCAAAAAATGACGATAACTGAAAAGATAAGAATTTATTAACACGCTCACGCCGGGTGTTGCGCCTGAAAGCGGGACGGAAAAAAGAAAATACTGGTAGAAGAACTATTTCAATATTAGATAATATTCGGGAGGAGTTANGATGAGACAATCTAGCGTGAACCACCGGTGGGTCACGCTTTCCGATTGAAGATTTCGTTACTGCTAAAAATTTGCTATAATGGAACCTTTTTTGCTTTTCTGAAACACTACATATTTGCATAGTTAATAATTTATGAAACAAATTATATTGTTTAATTATACTGCTGAATATTGTTTCAAAGAAACGGATATAATGAATCATCGCTCACAGTGGATTTATTGCGAGGTCCGCAGTTGGTTTACTAAAGGGAGTGAGATCCGACCATATAATATTGTGTGAAATTCAACAAGAGGAGTTAGGGCATGGTGAAGTGGTTTTTTTTAAAAAACTGTTAGATGTTAAGAGAGTTTTTTGAAGAATGGTAAAAATAAAGCGCGTTATCATTTATGAACGACTACTTAGAAATTTTTGCTATTCAATATTTTTTTAATAATTTGAGAAATTTAGTTTTCTTAATTTGGTTTCATTTAATAGGATGGAAGAAGAATGTGATTCCAGCTGATTCAAAGTGTTTAAGTCCTATTCTATGGAAGAAATCGAAGCCACAAAATGCCTGAAATAAAAGAAGGGAATTGAATTGAAGGGAAATGAACATCACGTCACATTTTCTCGAACTAATTAGGTTACATCATGCCGTAGAGGATGATATACAAATCAAACTTTTATTAAACCTTTGTGTATTATTGTGTAACAAGATACATAATTACATATCGAAGCATTTTGAAGAAGAGAAAAGACCCCTGAAATCGTAACATTTAACAAAGTTATTCTACAGTATCAATACATTATGTTGAACTATATCGTTCAACCACTATAAACAGAGACACTGAGCCAAGATTCTGTTATATTGAACTATATTTTCCTTTAAACGAGCAAGGAGAGATAGAAATCTCCCATATATCAACGATGTCTCAAAAATGTTGATGTTACTCAGTGTTATGATTTAACAAAAGAAAAAATTTTTTAAACATTGATTAATAAATTACTTTTATATCGAAAAGCACTTCAACACACTTTAAAATTGCAATTTTGGAATAAAATAAAATATATTTGATTTTTTGCTTAGTTTCACGCTTCTATATCTAATGGGATTTGTTTTAAATGTTTTTTTTCCTGCGAAAAATGCAACTAAAGATTGATTGTTCATACAGTTGCTCTTCAAACTCTTAGAAAGTTTTCTTATAATTCTGACTTTTACAATTTTTCTACTTTATGTCCAATATAAATAGATTTAAATGCAATGTAAGGTAAGATTTGATACCAATGTAAGACAAGGTTTAAATGCCTATTAATAAAAAAAAAATTAATTAAAAAGCAAGTATTTATAAAACTGCTCGTTATCTTTCATTAATGATTTAGAAATAACTAGGAGAGATTAAAATCAAAATGCATTAAAAAAAACTAAAATTGGAACATCTGACGAAGAATTATTTTTATCCACGTGTAATATATATACTACAGACGAGAAATGGAGCTATTAATAGCAAAATTTATTACCAGTCATATTTTGTAAAATATAACAGAACCATGGATAAATTGTTTTGTAAAAAGTACTTATTCTCCAATTTAAGTGATTTTAATGTGATTTCAGTGATTTCTAAGCACACTGACTATAAATTTTGCAAATTCGAAAAAAAGGAAAAAAAATTAAATCTAGCATGATTTTAAATACTAAAAAAGGCATTTTTTTTACTATCTACTGATAAAAGTAAAAATATATATCAAACTCAAATTATTTAGTTTACAAAAATAATTCATTAAGTCATAATAGAAATCTAATACTTATTGCGAGGCTTAATAGCGTATCAAGTATGAAGCTTTTCAAAGTAGAGGTAATCGTGTACTCAAAATAACTGTTGGAAATGAAGAAGTCTGAAAAGTGCAATTAAATATCATATCATAGCAATAGCAGTAAAAAAGTCTTATTTTATTTAGTATTAAAGTCCAAGGTTATTTATTAAATTTAAAAATAAAATATTTTGTACGAGTTACGTTTTTGTGCTGTAGTTGAGCTCTTAAGCCGTAAAAGCTGATCTAAAACGGATGCGCAGCTCTAAATATTCTTTTGCATTGGTCATTAACGGAACGGTTCCCTATAATGAACGCTCCTTTTGAAATTAAGCTCAGAACATAACAATTATTATGGTGATCAATATTATTATATATTGTGTACATGTGACAGATGTAAATCATTAGTTAGGAGGCATTAGGCACAACTAATAAAAAAAAACATGTTAACATATCAGTCAAATTTAAAAAAGATGTTTTAATACAGGATCGTACAAAGATACTACCAAAACATATCGTATACTTAAACTCGAATTTTTTAAATATTAGACCTTAGTTATAGACGATTTTACAGTATATATATATATATATAAATTACTCCAAAAATTACTCCAAAACTAAGCCAGG